AGCTTTGTCATCCTTCGAAGTATGCGATATCTCGCTACCCGCACAAACCAATAGCACCCCAATCCATAACGATGCATCCACCGCGGACCCGCTTTGAGAACACATTCTCATCACCACGGAGTTCATGCCAGTAAGTGCAGCATCCATCGGGCCATCCAAGAATTTCTTTACGTCCGAGATGACAACTTCACACCAAAATTCACCTTCGCCATGCGCTTTGTAGCGAAAATACGACGCACCTTCTTGTGATGCGCTTCAGGACAGCACCGGCTTCTCCTTTGCGTATTTGACGAACTTGTTTGACTTTAGCTCGTTGAGCACTGTGCGGGCAGCCACCAGCGCAGATAGTGTCATGGCGATTGCGTTACTGACAAGTTGTGGGCAATTGCGTTGCGGTAATTGCGAAGTATATCACGGCACATTTCGATGCCTATGAACGTGTGGCCCCTTGTATGAAGCGCGATTGACCAATTAGGTCAGGTTTCGCGTCACGAATTGCCTTTTGATTGGTCAATTCCCCAAATTTATATTCTTTCCACTTTGAATGTATTTTTTGACTTGCAGAATAGTTAAAATGCAGTTCGCATATAAACATTTCGGACGCCTGAAACAGGGTCAATTCAATTATCATCCTTTATGTTGGCAATTTCAAGCGCGCTGGCTGTAGTGTGGTGTATGCAGGCTTTGCTCTTGGATGTATACCCATCATTGAAAACAATCTCCGAAGTCTTGGCGCGTATTATATCTGACGTTCATCACGATATACTGAAGTTTCACATTGCCCCGTATGTTCCAACGTAGGAGGACACTTTGCATTTCATGATACTGTAAAACATGTATATGGAGTATTGTTTGATTGCGACATTTCGTTACAACGTGGATGCAGCGAGGAAGGTTTTGCATTGAACACCCAGGATACTTGTATATGGTGCATGATATCATGTACTTCGAAGTAAGTACTAGCTCGAGAATGGACTTACCAATTCGCTCAAAATAGCACAAGTTCTTTGCAGATTGAATTGTGCGGCAATCTTAATATGACGAAAAGGTAATTGCCACAGGGAACTAGTTTTACTGCTCGCATATTATGGCGATTGCGTCGCCGGTTCCATGGCCAAGTGCATGCCTTGATCGGTCGAGAAATATAGTGAAGTCGGCAAAGCATTGTGTACGTGTCCCCCAATTACGATTGCGTTGGGGATGTCGAGAGTGGAATCGTTTCAGCAGATCGCGTTCGAATCATTGATCGCACCCATTACGTGATGGTCGGGTTGTGGTTCGAGCGGGTTCTTTCAACAAACTCGGCGTCTCTGGCCACTTCCTCGTCGACACGCGACTTTGTTTTGTCGAGTAGTCACGTGGACGAAAACTCACGCGGCGCCCGGTCGATCTTGGGCCCCCAAATCGGTGGAGCTTCGCATACGAAATCCACGCCATCGTCGTGTTTGATGGCCCCTGCTACTCTCGATTATTCGGGCGACGAGGGGATCTCAACAACTTTGTTTTTCAAGTTGCATTTTGGATGGCGAATGTTGCAACGCGAGCGATGTCGGCACGTGGGAAGCTTGCATATGCAGTAATGGACCTCGTCGATTTGGCCATTGCAGCGGTCCCGCTGCTGGTTTCAGAGGTTGTACAATTATTCATTTCGATAGGAAATAAGTTTCAATCGTAGATTTGGATGGGGGTATACTTCATTACGATTTCATGTAGGCACGGCTTTGCAGCGAACTGTGCCCCGCGCACAAAATGAATGGCCCACACGAGTGCAGCGGAGGTCGGGCGAAGTGTGTTGCTGTGCACGTCTGCCTGGTCGTTGTTCTCGTGTAGAGAGGGTTGGATTCTGTTCCATGCATCCGATCTGTGCGTTGAACTTTTATCCATTTATATGAGGTATTACTTTTGGCGAGTTTTCCTCGTCCGAGTGGCGATGGCACGGAACGCGCGAGACACGATGTGGCGAGATGATCTCCGTTCCTGTCTGGCGCCTCGGCGCTGGCGACACTTGGGCCGCTCGTGGAGGCAGCTCACTTATCGTTTGGGCGTTTAGTAGATATCCACCATGGTGCACACCAGGTACATCGTTTTAGTTGCTGCCGCGGCCATGGCGCACGCGAAAATCTCGGCCCAAGTCCACCGTGAACTCCAAGCAGCGGGTACAGCGCAAGATATTGTGGTCAATTTCCGCCGTGTCGACGTCGCGTCGCTCGCTTTCGTTGAATCCACCGATGCCGTCCATGAGCTGGTCAGGATGCTGCAGGAGCAGTCGGACCAGGCCAAGCGAGTCGTGGACGACGTGCTGGGGCCTCGCGTCGAGTCGAGCTGCGACCAGTTCTTTTACATTGACAACACGTTCTTTCCGTGCGGAAGCTTGACCGAAGGCGAAGTGCGCAAGCTCGCGGCGCACCCGAACGTCGCGTCGATCAAGAAAGCGGCCGTGATGGAACTATCGCCTGTTCAAGTCCAGAGCAACGCGACCGTGACCGCTACGAATCAATGGGGCGTGGACAAGATTGCAGCGCCACTTGCGTGGGCTAGAGGGACTCGTGGAGCGGGCGTTGTCGTCGCCAACATCGACACGGGCGTTCGCCAGACCCACGACGCCCTCAAGAACAATTGGCGATCCGA